ACCTGCCCCATTTGCTGGGAGAACACTGTTGATGGCCTTGTTGCAGTTGGATGTGGCCATGTGTGTCATCAACAGTGCTTCAGTCAATATATCCGTCAGTATTTCGAGTCGCGACTGCTGGCTTCAGGAAAGATACAGATTCCGTGTCCAATGTGCCGAGCCGATTGTTTTGGGCGGCTGGAGCGATCTCAACCCCACCAACCGTTGCATTTTGTTGTCCGCCCTTGGGATGCCGATACCTCAGTGACACGGGCTGTCCGTTCCCTCACCGTTTATATGGAGGGCATACGCCTGTATGCCCATCGCTGACTACTCTGCCTAGGCCAATGATATGACTTTCATAGATTTTGGTTGGAACATTGATGCGTACACCAGTTCCCCAGCCCCATCGTTCTATAGCTTGTCGCTATGCCAATCCTGTCACGCATGTCCAGTCTCACACTTCTCTGCAATTCTAAACTGTTCTATATGCATTTGCTCGTAGTAGCTTACCGTGTAGCTGTAGGCTGAGCAAAGCACTGTCTTCCGTATTCTTCCGCTTTCTCCCATCTCTTTCACAGTAGTCCTGACTCTTCCTGGAGCAAATCTAAGCATGATGACCTTGGCGGCAGTTGTCTTAGCCCACGAGGTACATTAGTCCGGTTTAGGGATAGTGAATCACAATTCTGTTCTACGGAGAACTGCTCTCCGTCAACAATAAGCCCCGCAACCATCAATGATCAAGCCTTCTATTCACATAACCAACAAAGGTTAAAATTTAGAAATCAATGTATGCGGCGCTCTCTTTGCTTGAAGAGTGAGTAATATCGGAATGTGTTATAGTACTATTTGCACGATAGCCCTTGCATGGTTTTCATTAATAACACATGAGATGGAAGATTATATATATATATATATATATGCACGAGGAAAAATTTCGACCGACAGTATCGTATACTGTACATCATCGATTGATATATAACTTCGTCAACTTTACCCCATGATATGCTAAATTTTATTATAACCTAAACTTTGCCCCAAATCTAAACGTCTTGATACCATAGAACATTGCATGCCTATGCCTTGTCAACATATAACGGAGTATAGATAACCCGGCATAACTGTACGTATCCCTAATTAGGCATGGCGTACTACGCGAGGTACAGTTACTGGCTGATGCCGCATGCATTTGTTATCCCCAACAGCAGTACCAATTTAGGGACAGCAGCCTTTCCCTATTACCCGCACCATGGGATTTTTTTTCTGGTAATGTATAGTGCTCCATGACACAATCTTGGGTGAGACACTTCACAATGACATACAGCTTCTGCTATTGTATTGCACAGCGGAGAAAGCTCCATATTCCAGGCGGCCAGTGTGTGATATGACACATATAAGCTGGGATCTGTCCCTCAATTCTCTGCTTCGTTAAATAATAGCCCCGCTTGAAGCATGCCTTAAATCTTCCTCCATCTTCTGATTTGGAGCGTACTGTGTGCCATGGCTGGTGATCGTGCGCAAAATAACACCGCTGCCAGGGCGGAGGCGCGTCTTGGCATTGAGTTCTCTGCACGGGCCAGCATCGGCATGCCGATTTTTCCGGCATTATCCACGGGGGGACCGTTGGTGGACGGTCACGCTCTACGATCAAGACGGTTCGTTTGTTGTTTTCCTCTCCATGACCGGTGGCTTATCGCTGACTCCCGAGCAGCTTTGTTCTCGGACGCTCGGCGTGACACCGCTGCGGGACATTCAACCAGCGTGTGGTCGTTTTGCGGTGGTGAGGTCTACCGTCAGATCCAACTGGCAACCCAGCGACGTGATCGACGCCAATGAAAGCAGTGAAAGTGTCGGACCCTCACCAAGCAGAAACGGTATGATGTGCGACGGCTGCGACATTTCCCGCAGTACCGCGAGCTCCGGGATGCGCTCGACTCCCTCCTACCGTTCCGTGCCCTGTGGAAACGGTTACGGCCGGGCACGCTGCAACGCAAGTTTGCCCTTCGAAGTCCCGAAGTGAGTACTGCCCTGGTGCCGAGGCGCTTGGGGACGACCAACTGACGGAGGAACCCCAGAGGCTTGCTCACTATGTCCGCCGAGTGCACCATGTATGGTCCCAGATCCTTGGGAGCATCCACCCGGACGAGGCTGATCATAAGACCGTCCAGGCGCTTGAAGGCCGCTGCCCGGGACTTTCAATGATTGATCTGAATCATATCAAAGACGGCTTGGAGACTGGCCGGATCTTTCCTACGATCACCCAGCCGGATGACCGGGCGCGGCTGCTGGAGAGATTGTCCCGGATCGACACAAGGATCCCTTCCCTCCACACTTGGACCACAGATTCCTTGTGCTTGACCGCCGGTGCCTCTATCCTTCGGCGCCTGTTCCCGGTTCTCCAGAGCCACGCCACCCTTGAGCAGGAGGCCCAGCGTCACCATGCCTGGCCTGGCGGTGAGCAGCCATCTGGCCGTTCCCCGACCGCGGTGGACTTTGGGTCCGCCTATCGCCAGCTTTGGTTGTTTGCCCTCCGGAACGCACCCGGCCTGCTCTCACTACCCCAGAGCCCACCAGATGACAAGCAACAAGCCCTGTGGGTACAGGTGGCCCGGTTCGCATGGGTCGTTGGGTTTAACACGCCAGCAATCCGGAGCCTCCTGCAAGGTGATAGACCGACTGTAGGGTTCGCAGCGGATTCCGCTGGCGGGCCCCCAGCCATGCCCGCGATCACCACAGGTCTTGATGCCCGGGAGTCAGCGGGCAGACGCATGGTTAGATCAGCCGCACGATGCTTCCACGAGGCCCGGCCATATTTGTGGGCTGACTACATTTACTCGCCGTCGCCCACGACACCTGGATGGACTCTGACGCCATTTGCTATCGCGCGCGACGTGTTCCGGGCTTTTTTTGGTTCTGACCACCCCGGTTGCGAAAATGGTCAGATGCTATCGATGCTATCCCCGAGCATTTCAGGCCACGGTTACCTGTCAGCACTTCGTGACGTGAATATTGATCTGGTCCCCAATCTGGGCGCGGATCGCACATGTGCAGACACCCCCACGGGGCTGTTGACAGCCCCACTGGGATCCAGATCCCCGTCTCCGCGCTCGGTCAGTCATTATTCTCGATCGGTCAGTGGCGGAAGTAGTCATACTCCGCCTCCAAATCAGCCTGGAAACTTACCCGATCCACCTGATGAGCTGAATGCTCCTATCCCACCCTCGACCGTCTTGATTGACACGGTTCTTCGTGAGCTGGAGCATCCTTCTGACAGTCGTGCGCCCGCAGGCCTAGGCCTGTTAGGACATTCGATCCAGCTCACGCCGGTTGACGTGCAAAACAATCTGGAGCAGTACCGGTACCATGCAACCGGGCCGGCAGCAGTTGTATATCACTATGACGTGCCGCCGACGATCTATCAGTTGCCGCTACTTCGTGCCGAGCGTCAGTTCATGACCGCCATTGTAGCTACGAACTGTGACTGCTGGTATGCCGTTTATGAAGCAGGCTTGTTATGTATTCTGGAGCCAAAAGACATATTGCCATGGCTGGGGAAGAAATTGGTGGTATATGGGGAGCGAAAATATTGGCGCCAAGCACAATGCGGGGAATTTCCCCAAGTACGTTGAGTAAAAAGGCCTTTCTAGTCGAGTTTTGTGGGTTTACTTTTTCCTTTTTGGCTTTCTTTTTTGGTTTTTTCCCGCCTCTACCTCCAAATCAACTGTACTACAAACTATTATAGTGGAAGATTGTATCGCGGAAAGTTATTAACCCTCTGGGAAAAGGTTCTTATGGACTCTTTCTACTGTAATCAGTACACTAACATTTGACTGTTATACGTGGATATTGCCAAGACATCAGGTAGGCTTTTGGTCCCAAAAAAGGGCAGGAATGTGTGGCCTGGTTAATAGATAAAGGCCTAGATGGCTTCCGCGGATGCGTTTCCGTAGATTGCATACCATAGTGTGGGAAGATAGAGTCGACGTATTTGATGGCCAAGGAAATCTTTGATGCCGCATTGAGGATAAGATAAAGCAATAGATCCATCTGTACTTAGACACCCTCTCTGTAAAATTATATGTGTGCAAGTGTTGCTCTAGATACGGATCTTCATGGAGGACCGGTCCCACCAGTCCCACTAGTTGCGCCTAACGCCTACTATCCTTGAGCGTCCTATCTTATAACATCAGGAAAACAACCCCTCTATTTACAGTCACACGAATATGGATGTGGTAATTATTATTCAGGCATTATGAAGCTGGATACGCCGTATTTAGATGCGTACATAGACATCAGGGTTATGAGTAGTCTTCCGTGCGAGGATCTTTCATTCACCGACATAGTGTTCGAAGATGTCTTATGGTTGATAACGCGTCCAGTTTCCTGGGGACAGGAAGCTCAGTCATTATCCAGGTGCCACTGCCATATAGTGTAGATTCGCGAAAGCCCTTGCCCCTGTTAAACCGCGACCGTTAAAAGGCTGCGGGCTGACTGGGATCAAGCGTCACGTGAAAAAAGTCGGCGTACTCCTGGGCGATTCTTCTTAATGCGGCCGTAAATTTCGCCGATGATTGCTGTAGACGCTCATAGCTCTGTTCAAGTTGTTGCAAGGCAAAGGAACACTGATCATCGATCGTTTTGTACTGACTGGACATGTTATTTTCATGCTGGAATCCGAGCACGCCCGCCCGCCGTGGACCGCATCGGCCATCTTCAACGACCGCACATCGTCGGATGCTGTGCAGTCCTCGCTGAAGCTGCTGCAAAGCCTGATGTGCTAGCATGGCAGCTTCAACTTCGACCTGGAAGGCAAATGCGGCCTTCCGTAATTTGCGGAAATACGCATTCTCAGCGCGCAGATAAGAGGCTTCATAGACGGCGTCCACGGCCTTGCCTTTGGACCATTGCAGGTCAAACGGAATGAGCTCGATGGCTGAAGCCCGCACCCCCTGACGTGCAAGCCAAAAGTCCGTTTCGTCCGGCGTGGGTGGCCGATTGGCCCTGTCCATGGCTGAGTGACTCCCAGCGCGATATTTGACATATATCTCCCGGAATGTTTGGCTGGCGTTGAAGCTACAGCGGAATTAGTACACTAGATGAACGACACGTTCAATTTCTGCACTGTGTGACCGGGAAGTTGTCTGTGCCTCGGCGTAGGTATGCAGGGCGTAATTTATGTCTACATGTATGGATACACACTTCTTAATCCTGCCTGCGTCTGTTATTGATCGATTACCGGCGCCTAGAGCCTTCTGTCAGGAAGCGTACAAATTCCAGAGAAAACACCACCCTGTTTGATCAAACAACGTAGCCCTTGATCGTGATCTAGCGGCTAATCAAACAGACCAGTGTCCTCTTGAATTCTCGAAAACGATAGCACACTCCTACAAACCACTGTACCAGTTGACTCTAACTGCCCGTCTCCCTGAGGCTAGTCTAGACATGTCCTTGGTGGCTATCTATGGAACCCTGGAACTATGATACCTATAGGACAATGTTCCAGAACAATATCTTGGGAATGATTCACAGGATAACTCCCAGACAGCATCATTGTTCTCCGCAAATCCCGCCCCACCCTCATGTCTTGAAGCGGGCGCCACGAAAGAGACCCATGGATGGCATCGCCAACAACCAGGAAAGACTAGCCAGGGAAGCTGGCGAGGAGACCATCAAAATTCAAACACCGTTGGTCAATCGATTGCATGACCACTGTTTGTCCGGCGTAGAGATGTGCCCTGCTGCCTGCTGAGAGTATTGCTCATATCATCAGCACCCGATCAGAACAGTCTAGAATTTTGCCCATTGTGTCCTTTACGGATCTATCCGCCAGTCGGTTGTCAATTTTGGGATGTGTCTGACCTTTATGCCCGATTATATATTGTTGAAAACCACCAGCAGTGGTGAATGTCTATTGAATTTTTCCTCAACTTGCTACTTGGCACGGACACGAACTTTGGCCTATTTCGATATGGAAACAGCGACAGAACAAGAGCGTGAAGCCCTGGCGATAATTCCTCGGGCCGGATCTATATCAAGTGCCGCAAGGGTTGACAAAACTACTGTCTATGTAGGTACTTTTTTTCTTACACCTTTTCTGCTCCCCCTTTCTGTGAGAGCGCAGCTTTGGCAGAGCTTTATGTATCCTGTCATCTCATATTCCATCCGTCATAGGCCTTTGAATGGACAGGGTTTGGCGTGGCATTTTTACTTTGCAGTGGCCAGATAGCCCTTCGGCTGGCCTTTTCCCGTTGCCTCAGGGCTGAAGACGGCTTGACCTTGCTGGCGTTGGTCTTTCTCCTGGTTCTTGCAATTATCGTGACTCTGGAGATCGATCCGTTGTACGAGCTGCTGGGGTCGCTCAGCGGCGAGTCCTCGCTCACAACTCAGCTCAACGAGACGCCAAAACAAAGCGCCAGACTCTCCAATGCAACAAATGCAGCAAACCTGATTTCCTGGTCCTGCGTGTGCACGGTCAAAATGTGTTCGCTGGTCTGCTTCTGGCGGGCTGTTCGTCCAATGAAAGTTATGGTGCAGAGACTCTGGATTCTCTTTTGGGCGATTGTCGCATTCACAGTCATCTCATACGGAGTAGGCATGGTGATTTTCCCACTACTCCGGAGTCATGGCCCGAACACCTTCTCAGGTCCCGCATCCTTTCCCTCTCTACGTTTGACTCCTTTTCGTTTGGCTGACATCGGCGTCAAAAAGGTCAATGCAACCGGTCAGCTGCTGGGCGGCGAGAAAATGCAGCCCTGCAATATACCACCATTGTCGATATTATCTCCGACATTTTTAGTGAGTTGCCCTGACAGATCTGCTCACGGTGAGCAACGTTGTTGATCATATGTTGCTAGTTGCATCCTTTCCCGTAGCACTGTTTTTGAAAACACAACTTGTGCTTCGACAAATCCTTGCTAACTGTGCGGTCTTTGGGCTCGGGTTGTGCACAGTCGCGGTTGCCGTCGTCCGGTATATTATGTTCCGAGTCAGCTGCAATCGCCCCCAGCTTCTCCTCTCCTCTACGCTTTTCTGGACCATCAACGAATGTAGTCTTGCTGTAGTTTTCTGCTCGACTCTTGCGCTGACTCGACTATGGAGAGAATTTCGTTACCGAAAAGAACAATCTCGGATTAGCGGTGGGTTTCCTTCGGGCGAAGTATCTGGCTGGGGATGGCAAGCGGGCGATGGCTCTCGACAGCAATTTCATTCCCGATGGCTGGGATTTGACAAGCCGAAAAATGGGGATCTCCAAGGAAAACAGGATCGCAGAAGTCACACGACCATAATGCGGACTCGAGAGGTGAGTGTGGCTATAGATGATGAACCCTACGACGCCGATCCATGGGTCATTCCATGGTCAGGTTGACGAGAATTCACGTCGGCGGCTTTGTGTATTACAGGAATCGCAGTTAGAAGATAGGGACATAAATGTTAAAATGCTTACTGTATCTGACATGGAAGGCATAGAGCCAACAAAAAGGGAACCTAAAGCAGTGAAAAGCGGAGACGTATCTCGCCTTTGGGGCCGCGGGACGGTGTTTTGTCTCGGCCGGTATTAAACCCTCAACCTTGTCTTTAGGCCTTTTTAAGTGTAAATATCATGGCGAGCGGATTGTCACCAAGTTAAACAACCCATTTCCTTCAGCTTGTCTATACGGGGATACTTGTTATTGTGTCTATTGATGAATCGCAATTCATCGGGCTGGCTGACTGAACGTCTGTTAATTCGGACTCAGAAGCGAAAGACTATCATCAAGGTTATATTCGGTTTGGCTATATTGGGGATGTCATTCACCAGTAGCGGCAGTGTTCCACGGGAGGGCTGATCTCCCGCTAGGTCAAATGCGGAAATGGAATCTCAAAGCTTCTGCCGTCCTTGAAACGTCATCGTTGCCAAGAGATATTTGGAATCAAGATTGATGCAACGTTGCGGGAGATTGTGGGTCACGAAAACCAGCGTAGTTTGTCTGCTTATGGAAATTGCTGTCTGAACTTAATGTCCATGTGGAATGATTCATGTCTGCATGATTCCTAAACGATAGTTTATAGTGTGGCTTTAGTGGTCGAGACCGGGCTGAATAGGAACCGTGGATCATAGGATCGATTGCAAATCGTTCTAAATTCTTATCTAGTGTGCAGACGTCTTTGCTATCACTTGGATACCCAGCATTTTCAATATCAAGATCCTCTGACAGTAATAATTTCGAGAGTCTGTGCTTCCATCGGCCTGTGGATTTTATATTACCAATTTCAACATGTGCCGAAGCACCAATCGAGACCAGTAAGGCACTATGTACATACACCTTTTGCCCTGTAAGCAGTGATCTTTAGAGAAACCGTTTAGTTTCTGTATTAGAAGGGCTATTTTGTGGACCATGATCGCCATGTGGCCCCCAACACATTCTTTAGTACCATGCCAAGTGGCAAGGAGGTGTGGGGTGAGAGACTTTTCACATAGCCCTGGAGTCAAACGACGAGATGACTAGAAGGTGCCAACATAGTGTCCTGCCACCTGGGGCAGTAGGCAGTAGGATATTGAGGAATACGGACAACAATACATTTGGCTCTTTCTGAGTCCTGGAGAATCATCCTGTGGACCCAGTCCCGCCTGACAATCTCCAGGGCGGGTATGTGGTTAATTAAGACGCTACCGACAGAAACGCATAGGCCTTTGAAGAGAAGGTAAATCTGACCAGTAATTGCCATTTCCCACCATTGGTTCGTGAAGTCGCTGGCCCTCTACTAACCCCTGGATACTAACCTTGATAGTCTCGCAGACTCCAAGGGGTTACGATGCGTCCCATGGGTTGAATGTGACACCATCAGAGAGACCTAGACTGGCAAGAAGGTCGGCCTCTGGTCCTGGGCGTGTTTGCGCTCAGATCATCATGGATGGCAGGCCATGAGGTGAAGAAACCATGGATTGCTTCGCTCAGATCGGTTGATCATATCGTGGTCGTATCGTCCGAAGAGGAGACGATAGAGTACTGATACAGTTCGTGCAAACAATGGCGAGCAAAACCCGCCCAGTAGACGAGCCATTTTCGACGGCATGATTCCCCATCTTGGATGGAGTTTTCATCCGCAGAACGACTTTGGCGATGTTATTTAACTGATGGCACAAGTAGTCAACGGCCAAAAATTGACAAGCACTCGCGTCATATCAGACTTCCTATAGCTTAGGAGCCTTTATTTCTGTTACTATTTTAGGTCATTGCCTACTTCTGTTCTGTCCATGGCGCTCGCTAGTGAGTCGAAGACATACTGGAAAATAGCAGTAAGGTCGACCAATTCACCGGATAGTATGCCTTCCATTTCAACGGTTCTGACTTGCTGCAGAGGCCGTTGGTGCTTGAACTTTGCCACCAATGGGATAATGACCGTCGATGCGATCATTGCAAGTCCGAGGCGTTTGTATGTTTCCCTGCACCCTCCACGCTCATAGCTACCAATGCGGGCTGCAGTACTAACGGCGGGGACAGTCATCTTTTCTGCGCGACATGTATCGGGTGCTCTTGCCAGAAGCACCGGCTCTACCAGAGTCATACCCGCCAATGGAATATGTCCGCGCGATTGATACCGGCCTCCACAGTGCTACTGTCTGCGACCGACTTGGATGCACACCGGCCAATCACTCCAGTGTCAAGCGGAAACTGGGATTGGTAGACGACAACCCTCGGCCCCTGCAGCAGCAGCGGACGACCGAATCAGGGGAATCAACCCAGGAACCGGACGACAATGACACAATTAGCCAGGTGAGCACACTGGCAGGCCTAGACATCGATGCTCATCAGAGTCACGATAGGAGGGAATCATTCGAGAGCATGGCAGTAGGCAATGAAACCATGCCAAATGGGGCCATTGATAATGGAAAAAAGCCCGGAGATACGGTAGATGAAGCCATGGTGAGCGAAGACAGCGAAGACAGCGAAGACAGCGAAGACAGCGAAGACAGAGAAGACAACGACGAGGAAGAACCGGATAAGGACAGCGGCATCAATTACAGAGATCCTAGCGAAGGAGAAACGGGCCCACCTCAGTGCCAGGTCGATTCTGCAGGATCCATTGCCGAAACGAACACTGCCAAGTACGGTGGACTAGAAGAACACTCGGGGGGTGACATTGACCGACTACTCGATGAATACAGCAGGCTTGTACCAGGACCAGCGCCACAAGAGCTTGGCGAATCTTCTGGCGTGGGGTTGGCAGGTCCAGACCTAGATCGCCGGGTCCCAGCAAGCAGCAACTGTAGCACCATAGCGGGGGGATTCAACCAACCCCATCTGCTCGGGGGAAGTGGTCAGGTCAACCAACCGTGTCACCAGAGTTCCCCAGCAGCGACCCCCTTTCCCGTGCCACCTGAGTACCCATACCTACCAACCCCATCTATGCAACTATCCCATACAAGTCCTGGTCCTGCCGAAGATATTGACGTGGAGCAACTGGCCAATGACTGGGAGCTGCCTCCGGACATGCCAAACGCCATTCGCACCAGCTTTCCTGCTCTGCCACCATTCCCAGATGATGCTTGCCCACCGGTGGGAGACCAAAATAGCACTGTGTGTACCAGTCTTGCAAGACAAGCAACTGCTGATTGTCATCCAGAGCAATCTCCTGCGGTAACATCAAGCATTGCTTGCCCGCGGTGGACGTCTCCGCTCCCCTATGCGAGACAACGGTGGTCCGATGTGCAGCTTGGCCCGGACAACCCGACCAACCTTGTCGCCGCGTGGGAGCAGCTCGCGCAGGTCGTGTTGCGGGGCCAGTCCATGGGACTCGAGGGCGCGGACCACCTCATGCAGCTCGCGTTCAATATCGCGTCTCCAGCCGTCTTCCTGGGGATCAAAAAGCAGCTAGCACATCTTCGGGCGATGAAAGATGCCCCAAGCAGACCGTTTCAGCGCGGCCTGGCAGGGGTTTTTGCAGCGGGCCACTGGCACAAAACGAACGAGTGTACCTCCCGGATTGGTATGGCGTTGACGTGCTGGTATGTTCACCATCGGCGGCAGTTGGAAACGCAAGAAGGCAGTCCCGATCCCATGGGCCAGGTTATCCGTGAGATACAGGCTGAGAGCTGTCACGGATCCTACGCGTGCGATCGCGAGCTGATCGAGGCCAAGGTCAAGGATTGGTGCAAAAAGGCATGGCCGTGGGACCAACTAGCGCGGGTGGCTAACGGGCCGAATGTGCTCTGCTTCCTCCCGCAGGGGAACAACCACTTTTCGCGCGAGGATGACCTGTACTTCACGACCTATCGGGTTTTAAGCAGTGCTCAGTTTGCAGAGCTCGGGGCGATCTTAGCCAAATACCGGCCAGCCTTGCTCGCTACGGTTCCGACCAACTTCTATGAGTCCTTTCTATACAACGAACCGCCTGCTGGGGAGTTTGAAATCGAACGGTGGCCGGATCAGGAAATTCTGGAACAGCCCCTTGACTCGCCCAAATTTGCCCATGCGTTTCGCTTTGCAAACCACAGCGAGGAAGCATGAGCTCCAAAAAGTTTAGACAAATCAAATTTTTGGTGCTGCCTCTCCTTGATGTGCTTTCTTTCTTTCTTTAAGTCGTGCTTCCTGAAAAAGAAGCTTAACGGAACATCACTATTGGCTATGGTAATCTGTATAGCGAAATATCTAACTACATGAAAGTGAATGATCAATTCGGCCTCATCCATAGCTATAGGCAGCGAGTGCTAGAACTGCACCTATTATTCTTTATCCAGTACTCAAATACCATGACATCCTTACTCCAAGCTAGGTAGTTGTGATTGTGACATAGATGAACGCGTAGCTAAAGGGTGAATTTGCTTTCGGCCTTGCCAGGATAGCGTTGTAAAGCCTACGACACTCGGCTTAGTCGACAGGCTGGAAACGTTCTGGAATGAAAGTATTATCATCGCCAGAAAAAGCCATAATCTTCATATTTCAAACCATGCATGGCACTGAAATGAACACAACTCCTTGTAGGTGTCCTTATCAAATCTTTCTGAAGTCACTCCCATTGATCCTTCCCATTGCCCGCCGAGATTGGTTGTTCCTGCAAGTTCACTGATTCTACAGGGCATTCTAGTGACCTAAGATCCAATACTTGTTTCCTCGTTGCTCTAGTCTGGTCTCGTGACATCAGTGTTGGAGGCGCATTGTCCGTGATTCTGGATTTCTTACTCATTCTAATAGTAAGAGATAGCTGACCCTTTAGCCTAGAGTGAAACTTTTGCCTAATCTATTTCATCAGGCACGCTGGTGGATAATGGGCGATGGTGACTGTTACTAGGGGCATGATATAGGTTTTGAGTCATTGCTGCTGCTAGCGGCCATCAATATCTACTTTCTGTGTATCGTTGAAGGGATGAAAACGAAGAATGAATGTAGCACTGAAGCTTGATCTTGAATAACACGGACGTGTAGTGTATAGGGATACAGTCAATTAACGAGCTAGAGAGCAGATCATTTTTGTGTAAAATTATGGCGAACGAAAAGTCTCGTATGGTTCAATCTGAATACATAACAAGAGTGCTTTAGATTCTCCGCACATCCGCTGTGACCTTGTTGTAGTAACATTGATTCCCCTTATGCTGTCCACCACTAGCTTGTACCCTCAATATCTTTAACTGGATCTCCGAACCAACGGGAAGATAAACATTTGCTATTTATGAATTTGCATAGAGCATAGCATCCCCCTTTACTAAAATAGTAAGTCCAGTGCGATCTAGTATTAATCCTAGTATCACATTGCCAGAATATTTCAAATGAATCAGCCCATCTTGTATTGCTATCCCAATTGGTGGCTCTCATACCAACACATCGCACGTCACATTGAAACTTTCAATTTTGCGTCTAACTTGGCAATCAGTTCCCATTACATGCCAAAGGCAAACGCTCTCATCGGTGCAGTCATCATTCTCAAACAACGAGATGATACACTGAGGCTCCACTGCTATCTTCAAATAACCAACGGCGCCCCCATTCAGGATATTGTGGCGCTGACAGGAAACAGATTCATTCCCCGAAAATATCGTTGCTTGTCCGGAACACTGTTCATTCTGGTACAATGCAAACTTCCAGTGAATATCCTGCTCGGCGCTAGACTGGTGATGCTGAGCGAAAGCATTGGCAGTCTGCACGGCGAGGATGCTGGCAAGGGTGATACTGGTGTAAACCTTCATCCTGGCCATGGTACGGGATTGTATCCAATGCAACTGTTATGAGGGGTGATTATCTGGCAATATACGCTCGGTGGTATCAATAGGTGTTCAAACCTGGGTCGGATCTCGTTTATCCACCTGTGGGCATAGTTCCTCGGGAGGAGTAAGCTCAATATATAGGGCCAACAAGCATAAATATCAGCATTAGTGCTTTCTCTTTTACGTTGGGCTCATGATCTAGTCTCTAGTCGTGGTGCGCCCCTAAAGATGCGCCGTGGTCGGATGGTTTTCCGTGGTGAGCGAAGAAACCTGACGTCAGTCTCTGGAATGGTACTGGGCAGTGTAGTTAGATATGCCTTCCACGCTGACATAAATATTTATTTTGTTTGATGGGTTAACCCTGCCAATCCACCCTCTGTAAATATTGACTCCAATAGCATCGGGCTTTGCTACTTTCTTTCCCGCTGACCTTACTGTCCCCTATAGATCTATCGGTGAGTTTTAAGTGTTTGCTTTATTGTTATAGCGCTGGAAGTTTTATGCGGACACATTCACTCAAATTATAGTGAATGTGCTCTTGAAATGTTTTTACTAGTGGATCCGCCGACCATATCAGCCCATCAGCATGTGACTAGTCTCTGTTGACATGATTGGCCAATATTATGTTTTTCTATAGATGTGATCTGACCTCCAATGTTCGGCTCTGAGCAGTCTAGTGGAGTTACACATATCACCCTATTCCAGGAGGGTATAGTGTATCTCGCGAGGCACGCTAAACCCAAATCTACAATGTGGAACAGGATTCAGATTAGTCAGCCAGTTCACCCAGAATGGCTAGAGGGATTCATCCAATCCATCCGGCCACCGTAGATGGTTTAACCAGCCAAGTCAAGCATCAACGCAATATGTACAAGACATACATTTCTCTTCATCTATACGAACGTTTGAACTTCCTGGCCCAGTGACCGCCAAGTATGAACTCTCAAGTTGAGTATGATAGCTCGGATTTGGGCGTGAATACCTACACAGACCCGGTGGAAATTTTAACTTAAAATTCAGGGAGGATAATCTGGTTTGACTAGTTCCATCGGGAAAATCGATAGGGGCCAAGACCCATTGATGGGGTTTGAATTAGCGAATTGGCTAAACCCGAGTCCCTGAACCTCATACAGACTGATGATATGAACACATGGAAAGATGATGTATTTTACGCAGCATTACAAGCGTTTTCGCATGATGAGCAAATACCAGTACTATAAGAATCGCGTTCTAGCCACGCGGGAATTCTTCATACTCACCTGTGCACCAGACTTCTGTGGGCTATCTCCCAAAGCCAAACCGGTGTTGCCCAGACGTCCATAAGAGCAAAGTACCATTGACTATTCCACTTTTTGCACCTACCGATTGACAAAAGAAAGCAAAATGGTAAATAACAACGCGGACGCAGGCGAGTATGACAGCACAAACAGGCTCTCCCTCCAGTTGGGAGAAAGTCCCGAAGATGGAAACATTTCCGAAGGCGATACAGTTCCAAACACGCCTACAAAACCAAATTTGCCAATGTCAGATGTGGACAGCAGTACTGAAGAGAGCTCTCAGGACATTCGACCAGAGCCACCCGGGCCATATGAGAATGCTAATGGGAAGAACGCACCATCGGTAGCCGCGTTGCTACCACCCAGTGCCGACAATCTTCATTTGCCCAACGCTGAGACGGAGACAGCATCTTCACCTGTGTGTATCCGGCCATTGCCTCTAACAACGAGTATGTTTGGGACAGGCTTGCCTAGTAGTGTCACTAAACTTACCCCCATGCAGCAAAGCTGACGACCGACCCTTACAAAGACGGTATGCCGAATTGTCTAAGACAATCTGGCTTTGGCGAGATTAGTGGCCAAGGTTTTTGTACTCGAGGACCACTTGCTTCAAAGATTGCTAAACCCTGCGGGGAGTCTTGTCGGGAGGGGAGAGAAGAAAACTTGGTATGTTCCACAGCTCGTTATTCCAGAGACGGTAACGAAGAGCTCACCCGCGAGGACAGCAATCCAGCATGGGCCCATTGGCTGGACCAAAAAGCTCAAGTGCAGCCTCCCGGATCTCTTCACTCTCACATTGGATCCTCGGTCTTTCTCCCGACAACGTCGTGCCTAGTGATGAGTGCTCCCTTTCAAAGACGTTCATTTCGGGAACCTCCTCCGATGCTGTCCTAAATATCCCAGTACAGGTTCGGTTCAGCCGTACAGAGCTTCCTGAGAGAATCCGCTATGCCTTACAGCGACTGGGCGAAACGGAATGCAAAGTGACTGTCGATCGAGAGACGAAGAGGCCTGCCGAATGGAGCACTGTGTCGGGACCGATTAAGCGACAATGTAAGAGAAATTAGCGCTAGAATGCGCGACAAGTATGCGGCTCTTGTTCTGAGCACACTCGCAGAGGCCCTGGCTCGAGATGAGTTATTGAAATTTCTCGCTGGTTGGATCAATAGATCAAATCTTTTGTCACATTATGCAAGCAATACAAACTATGTGCCCAATCTCTACAGTAACAGGTTCATTACATTCCTTCACCCAACGCATATGTGGCAGCCAGTCATCAAATAGATAGATATATGGCTAGAGGTAACGTCAGCTGACTCTAACCCAGTAGAGAGTCAACACAATTCTACAACTAGACATCCCTGACGGTTTTCCGCCATAGTCAAACCACACAGTCGCGATAAGGCTTCTTGTCGAGTTAGATGGCCTTTCTTAATCTAATAATTATGGTGGAAATGAAGAAACCTAGATGGAATGGAGGCTTTTCGGGAATAAAGTAGAACGATCAAAAACACCCAAGCACCTAGGATTGGCGTTAGTCCAATCCGGTATTTGATAGACAATTTACGATAACTTACTAGACTATCCGTTTGCCTTTTTCGAATGGCCAATGGCTCAACTATGATAGCAAATATAGAGATGCCTGCCTTATCAGAAAGATCGTACAATTCATATAATTAGGCCAGGGGAATTTTGATTGGTTTTAAGTAGGCATTTCCCTGCTGAAGCTCAAGTGGGCATCGCTTGTGGAAAAATGGCTTTTATGAAGGATCTCTAGCAACGAACGTTTTCAATATCTGGTGAGGACGTTGATTGGATAGACATGCTGAAAGTTCTCAAGTACAAATTCATATACATGATGAATGTCGAGCATCATCCCCATTGCCGTACCCAGTATTTGATTGGAGACGGAAGGGGAAACGTCGCGCTGTCAATTATAAGGTAGCCTGTAAAACAACATAAATGATCTGTTGTCCTTGTCTGCCTTTAGCATGCTATAGTAGGATGTGACTTCTTCCCTCTCAAATAAATACAATGTTCCGCGAACCCTAATATGCCAAGGCCCCTAACCCATATATGGTTAGTGTATAGTACACCTAATGTATTGAGACGAGATGGTACAATACCAGACAGACAGATGGTCAACTTGAACTGTAACGTGACAAGTGTAAAATTACCACATTACGCAACAGCCTCGATATCCCCACATGTGCATAGCATTAATCTTTCCCCCACCCATAATACTGTATCAACTTTCTTCTTGTGCAGACTGACATCTCAGAACTGTCCTATATGGATGAGCTGAACTATGAGCTAGATCCAAGAGGGGATATTATCCTCGTCTTGGATAATGTGTCTAAGGATTTACCGAACAATTTACGGGACATCACTAAGCTATCGGGCTGGCCAAATGGGCTCAATAACCCCGCACCCCCCGAAAGCAATCAGAATAAAAGCAGGAAACAAGCAGATGGGGTAATTCCAGACAATGAGATAGGCTCAACCCATGCTCCTAAATGTGCGCAACAGCGCCTTTTGCAGATCCATGCATCGTCAAAACATCTGATATTAGCCTGCTCACAATTCGAAAGATCACTACAGGCTGCGTTTCAGGAGGGAACCGCGCTCAGGGCCACAGGATGTGTAAGATTTTCTGTACAGGATTGGGAGGCGATACCCTTTCTAATCCTGATGTTGATTATCCACCATCGAACACGAATGGTGCCTAGGGAAGTCTCCTTCCAAAGGCTAGCGGAGATCGCGCAGTTGGTTGATTACTATGAATGTTATGAGGCAGTGGAACTGTTCTCAGATTCATGGCTCGTTAAATTGGGTATCAGATCTGGGATTCCCAAATCAGTGGATATGGCCACGAAATGTCTTTTTATATCCTGGGTGTTTAACGAGGCCCCAGCATTTCAAGTTGCCTCTAAGTACCTAGAATCCAGGAGCACAAGCGTAATTAGCTTCAATCAACTCCCTGTCCCTCACGCTATACAAGGTCTGTTCTACCTAGTATCCACACTGCATCCCTACTTACAATAGATTTTTCAATCCAGATGCGATCAACCGCTCTCGACGAGCGTTGATTACCAGAATTATTGAGTCTATGGATAAGATTTTCTCAGAGCTTCGAGACAGTCCTAAACAATGTTCTGAGAGGTGTGACTGTGCGCGACTTGGCGCGCTGACGAAAGGAATGCATCGAATTGGAATTCTATCACTGAGCTCGACTTCAAGCCTTGAGGGGATCAGCTTCACCCAATTGGCACATGACTGTCGCAACATCCCGACTCCGAAGTATATCTGTGACAAGTCATATAACTCGTGCAATATATTTTCAACTGTTGATCCTTTCTTAAGAGATGCAGAGAAGCTGAACGTGGGACTTGGTATTTCGCAATTCAGCAAGCTTCGCTGCTCCTATAGCTAGAATACCGGGCTCATCATTATGAATCCCCGAGAACTGCCTGCTTAAGTACCTTTTCATTGTCCAAATCTCACAAAGCTGATAAGGCTAAAGAATCTAATCGCTTCACTATGCCTACATCAACATGTTTCATCTCAATCTGCGCCACCGTAGCCGTGAATTGGCCATTCCCGTAATGAAGGCAACGGTGACTAATATGTACACAGTAATGTTCAATCCTAGATAGCTTAAGCTATACCTTACTCCCGGCAATGAACAGAGAGGTGTTAATCAGAAAGGGCTGCTTGCTGTTAACAGGTTGCCAAAACAGTTGGGCGTAACTTGTTTGACCTGTTTGCATTTAGTAGTGCATTCTACACGTGCCTTAGTAAGCGCCCTAAACACCCTTCTTGATATGTGATTGTATGATGTAGTATAGGTATTCAAGCCCATGATACTAATACAGGTTCGATACGAAACGCTTCAATTACAAACCACGTACCTAACCTACTTTAGGTTTAGCATAGCCCTAGGAATAGGGCTCAGGAGCACGTGTCTATGTGTTTCGCAGGGAAGGAGAAGGTGCATCTTACTGTATCCTATATATCAGACTAATGGCGTAAAACAAACTTAATACCTCTGCTGCTTAAACAGACGAGTATTCTATTGAACCAACGCAGCACTATTGGGATCCTAGCACCACTGCCGCGGGACCGAAATTTTTGTCCTGCCCTGATGCATCTGATTAAATAATTACGCTGAACGTCGCCACTAGGACCAAGGTAGTATCATTCGCCTTTTCTCAATGTGGTCTGGTCTTAATCTTGAAAAAGCTGATAGGTTCCGCCCCGCCATTGGTTTGGGATTAATCGATTCTAATCCGTCCGTCGTTGTTCAAATCTTATACTCTTCGCTGACTTATCAAGAAAGAAAACAGGCAATGCCATTATAGCCCACTATTAAACTACAATGGGCATTTAGGATCTATACTGTATCCTTTCCCATCTTACTCGCTTTGGGATGTGTAGCTATCATCCGGGTCATGGCTGGCTTCGATGCGTCAATTATATTGATTGCCTTGAAAATATTTATAATTCCCTTGGTAAGCTCTTCTAGCGGAAAATTGATGCTTGGATGTATGTGCCGTGCGTTAGGATGACTATGCTGCCGAATATATGTGCCATAGGACATTTTTGGTTCATTCCATTGCACAATAAAAAAGATTTATACATTATTGGCACAGCAGGCAGGAGGAACCCGATGCCGTTGTATATGGCTTAAAAATTCAACAACGGAAATTAATATGCCATGCTGGGTGCCATTAGACGTTAGTGTTGAACACTGGTCCATATGCACATTGTACAAAAGAAACATACGTACCTGTTCAGCGACCTTCGTATCATCATTGGAACAGTAAATCAAGTTGTTGATGGTCTGGTGGTCTAAACTCTGGCAATCCAGCCATTGATCTACTGCATCAATGTCCCAGAATCGCGGTGCTTTCTGAAGACACGGAAATTTTGTAAGAATATCAAGCACCTTGTGGTGTACTGCACGCGCACTACGCCAAAATCCTCGACGAGAAAGAAGTTCAGCCACCGCTGCTTCACTGAAGCCGCGAGAGAGGAAATAGATGGCAACCACAACCTCGGCATCTGCCCAATAACAGGTCATCCTGTGAGGATACGTCTCACTTAACGTCAACGCTGTGTAGAAGAGGCCACTGGTGAAGGGAGCTGTGCTCTTTAAAAGTGAGATTCTGGCGATAATAGAAACCACATGGGTCACTGGGCTTCAATCGCTGCATTGGAGTCTTAATGGAAAAATTCAAGTCTAGAATGGCCCTAAAGGCTATTAGATATACTATGTATGTATGTATAATTCATTTACCCCGACCTCTCGCCTTTGGCGATATGCAGGTTACCACAACTATATATATATATATATGTATCCGAGTATAAACATGTAGAATCATCCACTTCCTGAAAACGAACTTAGAGCCTCGTCAGGGCCTCCCGTGGCCTA